GAGACTGTAATCAATAAACTGAGTATAATTTAAGAATAGTAAATCGTATCATAATAGTCTACAGGTCAAAATAAAGCTTATAATAAGAGAAGTATAGATATAGATAATATGATTACTAAATAGTTATACATTAAGAAAATACGGATGTTATTTGTCTATAAAGTTTTCTCAAAAGTTACGATTTTCATAATTCTCGTTGGAATATATCATTTTTTTGCTTCATAGAACTGAAAGAAAACATTTTAACTTCGACGTAGGGCCAATTGATCAATGTTTTTTAATGGTTTATTCATACTTATTAGTTTTTCTAAAAAAACAAGACATTTACCTTTATTTTTAAATAAACATATCTGGGTGTTCATCATATGATTAACAATAGTTTTATGTGTATCAGAAGGGGTTTTGTGGATATTATAGCAATTTCAGTGGTTGATATCATGAGCCAATTGAAGCTAGATCACTATCGAAAACCTGAAAGTACTGGACGGTTGTTTCGTTCTATTGTAGGACTTCACAGCAGTGCACATTCACGACCCCACCTCACGAGATTCGAACCCAGGACCTATCAGTCTTGCTCGCGAGCGCTTAACCACTAGACCACTGAGGTGATCGACATCCAACGGTGTGAATGTTTAACTTCAACTGATCCACGAAATTGAGTGACACATCCATCATTGTCATCAGTGAGTTACTATCTCACAACTGACTCGGCTGAACTCCACTGGTCACTATCGCACAATAGGACGAAACGGCCGTCCAGTGCTTTCAGGTTTTCCATAGTGGTCTAGATTCAATTGACTCATGATCTCAACTATTGAAAGGTTTTATATGTATTTAAAAACTATTTATTAGATAGAACTTCATGGAAAACATTAATAAATATTTAAGAGATCTATTTCTATATTGTTTATTATTCTTTTTTAAAGTTATATAAATTGTACGAATATTCGTCAAGATTAGAACGAATAGTTTGACAGAAATTAGGTGCCGAGTATAAAGAAGTTATTATATATGAAAATTTTATTTGAAATAATCTCAGCAATTGAAATTTAGAAATAATTCCAACATTTCGTCCAGTTAACTTGTTTGAACTTCTTCAGACTTATCAATAAAATTAAAATCGTCAAAGAAATATATAGCTATTAACCAATCAAATCTATACTATATTGAATGTTGTTTTTTGTAAAATGTATAAATTGTATTACATTTCAATTTTGAGTAATTGAAGTCAAAATATCAATCAGTTGCTATGTATTTAAAATATGATCAAATAATCTCTATATATTTACTTTATTCACTTGATTGATTTAAGTGTGAATTTCTTCTTTTTTTTTCAAGTTGTTATTATTTTTTATCACCTGAAGAATGCATTCATAAAAGTATTCACATTGTATAGATCCTAGTGTACTTAGAGATATTTATAATATATATCAAAATAATTATAAAATAATATTGTTATCATAACATTTATATTAAAATCATGAATGAATCAATGTTAGATTATCATTGAAAACAAGGAAGTACTGGATGGCCGTTTCGTTCTTGTATGAAACTTCTCAGCAGTGCTCATCTATGATCATTCACGCGAAGTTCAATGACTTTAAACTCGCTCTGGAATGGTCGCACAGTATTATGGATTATGTGATGTTAGTACTGGGACGATCCAGAACATTCCTTGAAAAAAAACTTTGAAAACACTAAGAAACATCTTATCCAATCAGCACTCAACAGACGTTTTTCCAGAAACATCTAGAAAGTGATGATTATCTATACTGCTAAAATGTTTGGTAGAGATCCAGAAATTTATGAAGGCCCGAGGCCATCTAAAATACTTTAAATATCCTAGATTTTCTGTACATAAATGAATCTTTAGAGTAAAGCGTTTCTTCCATATTTTGCATCTTTTCTTTCGTATTCAAGTCGCAGTGTAGATTTATCCTAGTTACTAGAAGAGCATAGGAACCAAATGTAGCGTTTAATTAAAAGACTTATAAGCTATACATTAACACCGTTGGATGACGGCTGAGTGGTCTGGAGGTAAAACCGCTGAGGAGTCCCATTCTAGGACGAAACTGCCGTCCAGTGCTTTCTTGTTTTAAATAGTAGTCTGGCACTCATTCATTGATGATCTCAATCAAAACTCAACGATCTTCACAACCTTATACTGATAACTTTATATGTGTAAATCATACTTCATAAAATTTATTTCTTATTCATTTATGATGATTTCCCTCGAGAGTCTCAGGACAGTTCGTTGATCACTCTATTGGAATTATTTAATTAAATGTACTGGGATTTTTTAGATGTTTTTATTCACCCAAATCTATCACTAGGTATTGCAAGAGGCTAGAATCAAATTAAAGTCAAAAGTCTGAACGTACATCATTGATTAAATAGTTAAAGGTAGTCCATATTAAAACCAAGAGATGATGTTTCATGTTAGTCGCTACTCTTTAATTAGCCACGTCAACAATTCTGAGAGGATTACTACTTTCTGAGAGATTTAGATCGGAATATTTGTCATCAATCAGTAATCAATTATTGTTAATATTTGTAATGTTCAACAAGCATTACTATAGAAACTCATCTGTCGTTCTTGAGTATAATTTCATAACCCACATGATCTGACTCTTTTCTTGTTTTTTGTTATTTCACACTTTTTACTCCTGAAAAATACTTCGTTGTATCAATTTTTGGTGCGACGATCATTTATGGATGACCTTTGAGCAACACCAGACTGACCTTGGGAGTGTCCACTTAATAACCAGGATCAAATGACGGTTATAAACCAGTGTAGGGGATTCAAATAATAATTTACAGTTGATGATTAAAGTTAGAAATTAGATTTCGGGTTTTCATCATGAACTGATATCAGCTACAATGCCAAAACTCTATTTATCCGGATGAATGAATCAATGACTGAATTTCGCGCCGAAACCCGAGACCTATTATCTTATATGTGATTGGTTCGCCCATAAATTATAGTGTCACACATTTTTTTCATTTCAACACCATTAAAAAGTTCAACAAAATAAACTACTGAAATATCATTTAAAACTGAAGTTTTTCACCATAAAACACTTGCGAAAAGTTACTGAATTTTCAAACGAAATACTGTCAAATAAACGTTTATCTTCCGTTTTGTGTATTCATTCAACAAGTTGTTTGTAAACATTTTTTCGTTCAAAATCCTGATTAGTTTTAAATAGAAAACTTTCCAGTTCAATAGTACACTGTTGAAAACTTTTCCTGGTACTGATAGTAGTGTGATACCTCTGTAGTTCTCATATTTGCTTAGATCTCCTTTCTTTGGTATCTTGATGAGTTGCCCTTCTTTCAAGTCTGTTGACACTTGTTCTTCCTCACAAATCTTCCTGAACACAGTGTGGAACATGTTTGCATTTAATTGTCTATCCAACTTCATTGCTTTAGCTGGTATGTTGTCAGGTTCTATTGCTTTCTCACCCTTGATTTTTCAGATGGTTTTACTGGTTTCCCCGACTGTTGGTAAAGTAACAACTATAGGAAGGTCTCTGTGTGATACTTCAATGTCCGGTGGATTCAGTGGAGTTAATATACTTAAGAGTTCTTCAAAGTGTTCTACACACTTGTTCCGCCATTCTTAAATCTCAGTGATCGGCTTGCCTTTTTTGTCCTTGACCGGTCTCTCTGATTTACGTTATGTCCCAACTATCTTCACCGTTGTGTCATATAGTTGTCTCATAATTACTTCTTTTGCAGCATTTTCCTCTGTCGTTACGAGATCTTCTACATATTTCTGCTTGTCCGCTCTAGTGATTCTCTTTAATCATTTCCAAGAATGTAATTAGTTTGTTCGAAACCTGTCTTCCGTTTACTAGATGTGTCGTAAACTGTGTTGAAGCGCCTTTGTACTTTTTTTGCATAGATATATTCTTATTTATCTGTATCCTATTCTGCTTGAAAATATACAATTAGAAAATAGGAAAGGAGAAGAAGTTTAGTGTCTGACAAAACTACATTTAGCAGTATCTTTATATATTTCAAATATTTATCTACAAGCATATTCATAAGAGCACCATAAGATTCAATACATATCTTTCTAATCTTTACATCACTCTCCGTAAAACACCAAAAACTTTTCTTAAAATCCCAAGAACGTAAATGGATAACAGTAAAGGATAATACGTAAAACACAAGAAAATAAAAGATTACAAGAGAAATTGTCGAACACTACAAAAAGCATGTAATGGCATTTTTATATTAAACAATCAATAAGATCCTTTAAAAACATAATAAATTATTATCAGAAGTTGTTTTGTGAATATTATAGCGATTTCAATGGTTGATATCGTGAGTCAATTGAAGCTAGATCAACATGGAAAACCTGAAAGTACTGGACGGCCGTTTCGTTCTATTGTGGGACTCCTCAGCAGTGCACATTCACGATCCCACCCCCTGCGAGATTCGAACCAAGGACCTATCAGTCTCGCTCGCTAGACCACTGAGCCGACCGTCATCCAACGGTGTTGATGGCTAACTTCAACTAATCCACGAAACTGAACGACACATCCACCATTGTAATCAGTGATTTAGTGGTTAAGCTCTCACACTCGAGACTGATGGGTCCTGGGTTCAAATGTCGCGGGGGGTGAGATCGTGAATGCGCACTACTGAGGAGTCCTACAATAGGACGAAACGGCCTTTCAGTGCTTCCAGGTTTCCATGGTGTTCTAGCTTTAACTGACTCATGATCTCTACCATTGAAATAATAGATTATAACCAGTACAAATTTGCAAAAGTGTACAGCCCAAACAATAATTACAAGCTTTCAATTGAATGTTAACATTTCAGATATATAACAACACATCTTTATTTATAATTAAGTCATTATGTATAGTATACTTACAAATTCTCATTTTATTATAAAAGCTACTTGTAAGTAAACACAAAACATATCTTGAATATTTCAGCCTTCTATCATTACGTTTTTTTTCTTTTTTTTTCTCGTTTTTCTCTAGAGGTAATAAGAAAAATACTACCGTAGCAACAATAAAAAATACAATTTCAACATCAAAACAATCAGAAAACAAAATGGTTACACAAACATCACCTATTTTAACATCGATAAAACATGATGAACAATATTTGAAATCAACTTTAATCAGTAAACCAAAACATTCATCACAAGTTCAGCTAGCCAACACTATCACTAATCATCATAATACATTTGATAAAAGTAATGTTAATCAATATATGAATATTAATAATAATAATAATGCTGAAAAAATAATGCTTAAAGATATTAAATCTTATCCTCCAATACGAAAATTATCAACTAGGACTAATAATAAGAATAATATACTTAATACTCATAATCACCATTCATTAATACCTGTATTCCAGGGGAAGTTAATTAGTTCCACTGTTCCGATGACAGTAAATACTATTACTACTACTACGACGACGACGATGACGACGACTACGACTACAAACACTGTCGTATCTAGTTGTTTCATGTCAAATTTAGCATTGAAAAAGAATTATTTAGGTTATAATTTAGATGAACAGAACATAAAACAAATTAATAAATATACAAGTTTCAAAGAAACTGGTTAGTAAATCCTGTTAGCTATATTACTATTAATTGTAATTAGTAGTTAGATCTTGTATGATAATTGTGTGTGTGTTCTGTTTTGTTTTAAATAACAGATGAAAATATATTTTTTTAAATTGTGTATTATTATAATTTTAATAGTATAAATAAATAAAATAACAAATCAGTATAGGAGATTTGTAGAGGTCGTAGTATTTTCACAATTGAAATCATGTACTTAAGTTTGCTGGATAATCATTGAAAACCTGGATTCACTGGATGAATGGTATGAAACTCAGTCCATGGGAATGGAATCAAGGACCCTTGGTTTCAAGCACAAACCATCAGTCAATAGACCACTTAAAGTTTGCTAAAGACCATAGGTTCATAGGGCGTTAAAGATTCAAACCGTTGAATGTTATCTCAATGATCTAGAGGTTAAGAGTTCGTAAGCTTAATTTCGAAATTTTTTAAGTCTACTCATATCTTATTTATACGACATAAAAATTGACATTTATTTTTTAGAAATAAATCAAAACTTTCTCATATATGATAGAAATTAATTATTACTTTTATATAAACTATGAATAATTTCCGACCATCTGTTTAAAATACTTTTGTTCACTATTAAGTCGATATCTGAAAGCATTCCCACTCAAATCTCTAGAAAGTTTATATCTTTATTTGATCTATTAAATAAGATTAGTAAAGGAAGTAGCAATAAATATATATGGGAATGCCAATGCATTACTCATTAGATTACATTGATTTTCATCCATGAACATATTACTTAAGCTTTTTCCATGGTGGTCTAGCTTCAAGGGACTCATGATCTTAATCATTGAAAATACTATATTATCCACAAAACCCATGTGATATTATTCAACATATGCTCACTAGTGACTGGCTTCACGAAGTATTACCTGGAGTTCTAGTGAGAAGTAGTGACCAGTGGAGTTCAACCAGGTCTGTTATGAGATAGTAACTCACTGAAGACAATGGTGGATGTGTTGCTCAATTTCGTGGATTAGTTGAAGTTAGACATTAACACCGTTGGATGACGGTCGGCTCAACGGTCTAGTAGTTAAGCGTTCGCGGGCGAGCATGATAGGTCCAGGGTTCAAATCTCGCGAGGTGGGGTGGTGAGTGCGTACTACTGAGGAGTTCCACAATAGAGCGAAACGGCCATCCAGTACTTCCACGTTTTCCATGGTGGTCTAGCTTCAACTGACGCATGATCTTAATCATTGAAATTACCATAATATCCACAAAATCCATTTAATACTTTCTCTAATAGTTAAACACCAAAGGTTATTGAATAAGTAGTTTTTGTGGCAAGACTCTAATTTAGGGACGACCTTTGAACGAATCTCAATTGACCTTGACAATTATTAACTAATCAGAAGACAGTTAAAATAAAGTAAAAGTATAAGAAAGAAATGAATTACAGTGGATATTCTTCTTTTACATGATTTAAAAACTTGTTAAGTTTTGATAAAGGTTCAGAGGTTCTGAATTCATAATGCATATAGTATAGAAACTCGTCCATAGGGTTAGGATTAGGTTAGCGTTAGGGTTTGGGTTAGAAGTTAGGGGTTAGGGTTAGGGTAAGGGTTGTAGCCTCTCAATAAACACCTCTGCTCTAAAATCCGCTGTTAACCGATCGTACGTTAGCATCACGTGTTGAAATTGGCTCCGTGACCTAGAAATTGCTCAAACGCTTCTTTATGGCTCGTCCCTAAATTAGAATCTCGCTACCCTAACCCTAACTTAACCCTTACCCCAACCCTAACCTAATCCTAACCCTAACCCTAGGCTACAACCCTAAGCCTAACCCTATCCCTATGGACGAGTTTCTATACTATATGCATTATAAATTCAGAACCTCTAAACCTTTATCAAAACTCAAAAAAGTTTTTAAATCATGTAAAAGAAGAATATCCACTGTAATTCATTACTTTCTTATAATATATTTTTACTTTATTTTAACTGTCTTCTGATTGGCTAATATTTGTCAAGGTCATTTAAGATTCATTCAAAGGTCGTCCTTAAATTAAAGTCTCGCCTTCATTCGACTTCTTGATTCTCAAGTCAGATACTTCAGAAACAAAATCCACAGAATAATCTTTAAACAAATCAGTACTCTCTATATTAAACTGATTGATATAAGCAACAAACTATTTTCTTTTTCAGATCTAACTCCTAAATATTTAGACAATATTAAAAGTGCATCAGTATCAGATTTAAGTCATTCCGGTTTAAGAATTAATCATAAAATTATGGATAATAGTAATAATCATAATCATAATAAACCAATGGAAATATCACCTTTATTGAGTAAATCATCATCTGGAATAATCAAGACAGAATTGAATTCATTCAGTGATACATCCATTACACTGGATCCTATAAATCATCATCCTAAAATAACAATTATTCGTGAAAATAATCATAATCATGTAAAAATGAATTCATATCCAAAATTACCAATTACAACTAGATCAGCTTATAGAAAAGATATCCAATTACATAATAATAATACTAATAATAGTAATATTCCAAGTTATAAATCATCAATTAGTCAATCTCCATTGTCAAATATATCTTGTGAAAGTTTACCTAATGTAAATAATTCTATCATAAAACAATTTAATTCATCAACATTATATCTGAACAATAATGATAATAATAATTATTATAAAATGAATGATATTACATGGAAGATTCCTGATACAATAGAACGATATAATTCAAATGAAGAGATTGGGGTGAGTTATGACATAATTATATATATATATATGAATTGACTGTTTGATACAATGTAATATCAAATAACTTATCATTTCAATAGTTGAGATCATGAGTGAATTGAAGCTAGACCACCATGGAAAACCTGGAAGCTTTGGATGGCCGTTTCATCCTATTGCGGGACTCCTCAGCAGTGCGCATCCACGACCCAGGACTTACTGGTTCCGCGCACGAGCACTTAATCACTAGAAAATTATTTAAAGCCATTTGCTTATGCATTGTGAGTGAAGTTTAAATTCACTTGATATTGTTTCTTTAATACTTCTCATTAATGTTTAACATTATGATTGATCAGTCTATTATCAGGACTCAGTAGATAAGTGAATAATGTGATGGTGTTTGAAGTAAACAGTACTGAGTTCGAGTCCTAGAATGAATATCAATTCTGAGATGCAGATACATCCAACTGACGAGTTCCAAACAAGACAAAGTGAAACGTGTCAAACTGAGTTCCACTATTAGTCATTATCCATTTTTCTTGATTAGAATGCTTGTGAATTAAATTAATATCAAAGCAATACACACAGTATCCACATATACCAATAAGAGACTGATCAATTGCAGTGTTAAACATCAATGATAAAATTCAAATAAAACAATATTAAGTGGATTTAACTTCTCATTCATGTTTAAATCTTATAATTACTTAACCTTCAAATTATTCCGTTTATTTTGAATCTAATCATAATTATAAAATATAATAGTAGTACCATAAAGTTACGATAATTCGATTCAATAAATTGTTAATTATGAAATTTTTGTTTGACGTTTATCAATCATAAAACTAAAAAGTAAGCTGATTTATTAAAACAAAAAGTAATATTCATACAATGAATTAATCATTACATCATATTCATCAGGTATTATTTGATATTATGGTTAAAAATTTTCACCTTGTCAATTATCATATGATAAGACCGCCTATCAGAATACCGACTAATATATGTGACTTTATCCATGTGCTAAACCAATAACATGTCGATCAGCACAAAACACGTTGCGTCAATTCTCAGTCGTTTCTGATCCTTCTCACCCAGTTCTGCAGAACACAATTTTAGCCTCCTCCATATCAATTGAATAGTTCAGATTTATAAGGTTTATCACAATTGAATGATCCCTGGGTGGTGACCAATATCATGTGTGTCAGGTCCTTATTTAGTGCAGATCGAATCCTATCGACCAAGTTGTAATGTAGCTACCGGTCTAGTTGACTCGACATTGCGTGCACTATGTTGAGATCAGATGGTGGTTGGAGGTAGTCGATAAGAGACCCTGGATCCGGGTTTCGTGCTACTTGGCACTCGTCAGCAAGGTGTACCTGTAATCTTGAGGGAACTAGTGCTTCCTGACGGATAGCATTCAATCTGTATTAGGAAGGATTTAACACACATGACATGGATCACCACCCAGGAATCAATCAATTGTGATTACATCCCAGTCCTAGTGTAGGTCGGTCTCAGCCCGGATAGCCCAGTGGTAACATCTCTGACTATGAAGTTGGATCACACGAGATCTAATCCGTCAGACAGCATCAGTTCCCTTAAGATTACAGATACACCTTGCTGACGAGTGCCAAGTAGCACGAAACCCGGGTCCAAGATTTCCTGTTGACTACCTTCAACCATCATCTTATACATGGTTTATATACAAGCAAACTAGATCGTATTACACTATAAAATGAAAAATAATAATTATACAAGATCAAGACATATACTTATTAGTTACTAAAAAATGTTTAAACAAAATATATTTTCTCAATAATTGTAATTTGAATTTATGTCAACCTGTGTTGAATGTATTGAACTATTGCATGATTGGTGCTGAGAACTACGTTAAAATGTAATCGATATTAATATTCAAAATCATGTGATAGGATAAAGTAAAATCCATAGTAGTGGAACTTTTACCTCAATAATTTGAAAAATATGTTGACTTATTTACTGTTCATTAATTCCTATTTATCCTTTCTATATACCTATGTTGGTACTTTCAGTTAGAGGGAAATTGATTCTGAATACAATGGTATTGAGTGATATTACACGCATGAGAGCGGGTATCACTTCCCGATGGCCAACACCGTGGGAGGGTTCTTCCAGAGATACCTGAAAAGGAAATTGGATTAGAGGTGGTCTTAGTGAACTGAGAGCGTGACAGCAATGCCCAAGGGATAACTGCTTAAGGACAGTAACACGCGAATTGTTTGTAATTTTCGTGTTAGCTCCGTACATAGTATGATCTTGCCGCCGGAGACGGAAATCCGTGGGACAATGCGAGATGTGCGTTTTTCTATTGTCGACATTCTCTAACCCCACCCTTCTTTATGGGAAGACAGCATTGCTGTTATGCCGGTTATCTGAGGGAAACACCTTACTGCCGTCACACCGCTGTACAGTCAGCAGTGCAACTTTGCCCTCAGACCTTGTGCTTGCTGCTTTTATCCTTATTGTTCTTCAACTGACCTGTCTGACATGGTAAGAGCTTGAGGAACGATTGTTCCAGCCAATATAGCTTGATTTTTTTGTTACGATAGGCAAGCCCGATAACCACGTCAAGGTAGCAGCAACGATCGGGCGGTGTGCTCTAGTTAATTCTACAGATATAAGTAGTGTGTAGCACCAGTCGGAAGTGGAATGTACGCCAACAGAAAATTGAGAAGAATAGAAAAGGAAATAAATAGCAATTATACGAACAACAGAATTGAAAGAATCATATAGTATGTAAACGACAGGTGAAGGAAAATGTAGAAATAATGTATTAAGGGTATGCTTTTCATATTTTACGAAAGCACTGTGTAATTTTGCATTAAACAACAAATTGCTATTCTCAATTCAAGTGTTCGTTCACTACATTAATATTGAGATTGTAAAATAACCAACATTTTAATGAACGTATCATAACTTACGTAATTACATACTTACTCCTGTTACTCCCAATGGAGCATAGGCCGCCGACTAGCACTCTACAACCCATTCTGTTCTCAGCCTTCCTTTCTAGTTCCTTCCAATTGTTGTTCATTCTTCTTCTCATGTCTGTCTTCATTTCTCAGCGTAATATGTTCTTCGGTCTTTCTATTCTCCTTTGTCATTGAGGATTCCGAGTGAGGGCTTGCCTTATGACACACAGTTAGATACTTTCCTCAATGTTTGTCCTATCCACTTCCAGTGCTTTTTCCTGTAACCAAAGTCAGCATAAGAAAGTACTTTGCAAAATGTTAAAATTAATCGAAACCAAAATATTTTAACAATATTTGATTTGATTTATGCACCTAATTCATAAACATTTGATCAAGAAACTGTTATGAATCTTTTGTTTTCGTATTGTTTTAATAATGACAGTTTTTATTGGTATTATATGTATTGTATTCTATTTTATCCAAAGTGTCAACTGATTGTTGAATAAATGTTCACTGACAGTAAAAGAAACTATCCTTAATTCTATCGAGCAATATAGACGTATTAAGCGTTCTCATGCGAGACCCAATAGATCTTAAGTTTGAATCTCACGAGACGATATCGTGGATACACGCTACTAAGAAGTCTCACAATAGAACGAAACGGTTGTCCAATACTTCCAAGTTTTCCATATTGGTCTAGTACCAATTGACTAATAATCTCAAATATTTATTTATCCTTAGAACACTAAATTAAATTTGTTTCTTAAATTGATCAATGATTAATTATTCATTTATACCCTAGAGATTATAATGAAATATTCGTATTTAAATTTATCTATTAACAAAACCTTTAATGTATATCTTTTTCAAAAATCATATGATCTACAATAGAATAATCATTCGGATTATAGAATTATCAATCTATTCTACATATTTATATATCATAAACCATAAACTAGTTGGTCTCTTCACTTGCTTCTTCTTCTTCTTCTTCTTCTTCTTCTTCTTTGAATCAAGGTAAATCTATATTTAAATCAAGCTCAGCTAATACATTTTGTTCACATGTACTTCATATGTACATATATATGTATATATTGAGATACATTCATGTATTCAAATACATTGAATGACACAGAAACAAAAACGATCTGACAAAAAAACAAACTGTGATTTGTAATTTGAATGACAAGCTTAAGTAACCAGTGAAACAAACAATCGGTAATCATCATTATCTTATACATTATTTAATATACTACTAATACAATTCAACAACTATACTTGATATGAATATTCATATTCATTATTTTAATATATATATTCAATGTATACAAGGATATTTATTTATTTATTATTATTTTAGGTAGATCTTTCAACTTCAGAAAAAATTATGCAATATACTACTAATAATACAATTACTACTATTACTACAACAACAACTACTACTACTACTACTGCTACTAATAGTAATAATAATCAATCATATATAAATAAAATTGGTTTATTGAAACAATATGGTCATTATAAATCAACACCAAATATAAATACAACACTAAAAAAATCAAGAACACCAATAAAATTAACAAAAGTTAAAGAAGAATATGTGACACATATAGCTAGACCATTAAAACCGGAATTCGGTGTAAGTTATTATGATTATTCATATTCATATGCTTATTTGTGTTATATGCCTTATGATGAATATCATATTTATACATTTTATACATTAAGATTATGTGTGACACTGGAATTCAGAGTATGAGTTCTGTTCTGTTTGAAGCTCATTTGCTAGATCTATCTGAATCCTAGTATATATATATCAGTAGTTGAAATCATGAGCCATCTGAAGCTAGATCACCATGGAAAACCTGGAAGCACTGGACGGCCAGGTTTTCCATGGTGGTCTAGCTTCAATTGACTCATGTTTTCAACTATTAAATTACTATAATATCCACAAAAACCCCTTTCTTATATGTATATTGATAATGTGATTGGAACCTATTAGTTTATGGTTTTAATAATGATATATGTAATCCACTAAGCTACTGAATTTAAATAACTATATGGAAATTATGAAGTATTGTTTATCTTTAGAATATTATTTATAAAAAGTTTTTTTTCTAAAATGTTATGTTTGAAAAGACTATGAGATCATTTGAATCTGAGAATGAAATGAAAACCTAGTGACACAATGATCAAATAAGTTAACTAGTTCGATGCTAAGTAGAGAGAGAAGTTCAGGTTTAGAAGAAGGAAAATATATTCGACAGACAACCAGAAGTATTAACGACAACAAGCATAACTTAAGCGTACATATATAGCATAAAAATGTCCTTAGGAAATGGTACAAAATAGCATATTGAAAACGACAATGAACCAAAGATATTTAAAGTCCTCTCAAATGGAAAATACATGATGAAGATGAAAACGGGCGCTTTTGGAGCGAAAATAAGACATTTACCATGTGAGTTCTAGGAATCTAACATCCTCAACAATAAGTTCCACCTGAATTTATGTGTTCTTAATACATTCTCATTATCCATTGCTATATGTGCTTTTTAAGGATTTTCTAGGCTTTCAATAGAACATGATATTTGTGAAAAATTAATGAATAACAGTAATATACGTAATCGTTATCCAACGGCGTAAAGATTTTTCCAAATATATCCCTCAGTTTATGCCTTATATGGAGGTATTTGTCATGAATCAACCACTGTTCGGATAATATTTTTTTAAATACAGAGCAATGCTTGATGTTACTCACCTGATTTGTTTTCTTCAACAGATAATCAACATGACCCCACTAATAATCAAACTATATTCATTCACATCTCTCTGAACCCTTCAGCAGATATTACACGTTTCCAACTTCAATCAATTAGGCTTTATAAATGATCAGAATAAGTAAATAGAACATATTGATATAAAGATGACAGATTTATTCACAGTGATAAGAATGATGAAATCTTGTGTTAATCTTGCAACATCTGAATTATGTAAAAACTTGTGAGGAAAAAAACAACATTAAAAATTAATTAAATGATGTAGCAAGAAGTCTTCAGATAACCAGAAAGTGAAGATTATAGAAGAAAAGAAGTCAGGATAAATAAACAGAAAACTGGGCATCAAAAATTAATAAAAATAGTTCATTTAGTTTAATCAGACCAATGAAATGATAAAAGTGTTATCAGTTTTATCATGACACATAGATTAGCATTGTAAGCTTGAACCCCTTTCACTTTATTCTGTATTTAAGAGACGAGATCAAAAACTTTATAAAACTACGTATAATATACAGTAGATCCCTCAGAATGATTAATTTTTATTTACTACTGTATGTAGCGGAAACTTGGAGAACAACGAAAGTCATCATTCAGAACATACAAATATTTATTAACAGTTGTCGACACAAAATACTTCGGATCCGTTGACCAGACACTACACTTTCAGCAATAACCTACTGTAAGAGAGAACAAACTAGATCTCAGCAGAGGAATAAGTCAGGCATAAGCGTTGGAAGTGGATAGGACACATTTTGAGGAAAGTATCCAACTGTGCATCATAAGGCAAGCCCTCACATGGAATCCTCAAGGTCAAAGGAAAAGAGAAAGAACAAAGAACACATTACGCTGAGAAATGGAGAGAGAGATGGGAAGAAGAACGAACAACAATTGGATGTAACTATAAAGGAATGCTGAGGACAGAATGGGTTATAGAATGCTAGTCGGCGGCCTATGCTTCATTGAAAATAACAGTAACTTTATGACCACTCTCTGGTAACAATGATAATATATAATTACCTATTATCCTAATGAATGTATATCACTTAATCATTATAAATTAATCTGTTATTAATTATTTACAAATAATCTGTTATTCCTAATTTTAGATGAATCATTATAATGCATTCAGTGAACAAGATTTATCTGGGAGAATGATAAAATTAAGTGAGAAAGAAAACAATCGAAGACATAGTGAATTGAATTATTTGCATAGTCCATATGATCATTATTCATATCAACATATAAATCAAAAGAAATTAAATGGTGATATTGACGATAATGTTGACAATGTTCAATCAACAACATGGAGACATAATAGTTATGACCGAAATTTAGATAAGAAATCAGGTAAATTTTAATTAAATGTTTTACTTTGAAAAAAAACTAACTAAAAGGCGTTTGAAGCGAACGGTATTGGGTTCGAGTCCCGAAGCGAACATCAACTCTTGGATGTAGATACATCGACTTGACGAGTCCCAAATAAGAAGAAACCCGCGTCAAACTTGATTCCATTGCTAGCCACTATTCATCTACGTTTAAAAAGCTTGTGACTTAAGGCTATGTCGAGGCAATCCGCATAGGATGCACATATACCAACATGAGACTGATTAATTGCAGTCCTAAATAACAATTGGTAGATACAAGTAAAACAACACCAAGTGAAGTTAAAAATATAAGGTCATGGAAGAACTGTAGAACAGAAATTCTCAAGTTTAAATTATACCTTTAACTAGGTTAACATTTATCATGACTGTATGTGGATAGTAATACATCCAATAAATTGACTTTGAACTATATATCTATATCCTATTATCAGGATATTGTAGATAATATTTATGACTTATATTAATAGAGGAAAGTCATAAATAACTACACATCAGTTGCACTTCAGTTTCTGACCTCTTGACAGTATACATTCATAACAGTACACATTATTCAACTAAACATTCTACAACGTGAAATCCAGGTCCAATTCTCATCAGAAACGTGCGTCAATTAAGCATTACAGATACTACTACACATAAGTCATTAATTGATTTTGAATGTATTTACCTTATATCCGATCCAACACAGGATGTCAATATAAACCAGTATGACTGAAATCATAGACCGATATAAGTTAGACCAACAATGAAAACTCGGGAGTTCTGGATATCCTTTTAATCCTTAGTGTGGGACCAATCACTAGTGCCAATTCACAAATCCACACGTGAGAATCAAAGCAACGAGGTTCGGTCTCGTCCACGAACATTTAACCTCTGAACCACCAAGGACTGCATGAATTTCCTCCTGAATCTAGTCACTAATGTGCGTATGGTAATTGCCAGATTTGGGTTATGGAGGTTCCAATCAGTAATCTAACTTTAATCAGTCTATGATTTCAATGAAACCCAACATTTTCTTCCACCCTTTACCGAAAATAAATCAATGTTTTGTTTTTAGTGTTGATATTATACAGATCCTTACCTACGATTCACATAGTTTTGAGCATAAACAAAGTGTGTGATACATCAAATAAATCCATAAAATTTATTATTAAATCTTAGCAGGGTATAAATTCATATATACGAATGGAAATAATGATGATAGTTTTGCTAAAGGAATGTCATACTGGCGAATAGTTTTATTGCCACCTACTGGCTAAAAGACTTTAAAAAAATCTTATCACAATAGATTCAGTTATATCTATAACATAACATTTGTGCAATCTTTTAATTATAAGAACTTATGTGGAACACGAATTGTCAAAGTTTATCCTTAATAGCATATTCAACTAGCTTATCAATCTGATCCTATAATACAGAATCATTAGTACACTGCGACAAATTCTTTTGTTATATACTTAATTTCTGTGAATGCTCAATTAATTCAACTATGTACATCAGTTAGTTTAAAGAGTTTTACTTCCTGATACGATTGATCTCCAAATTATAACCGTATCTTTATTTATTTATTTTAACACATAGATATTGGTACAATGGTACAAATACATAGGCGCCACACAAATCTCATTTGATATGTGTGTGGGCTGCGATACTGCCCGAGTGCCCAAACCGAAGCAGGTGGTTTTCTTAGGGGGCCACTCTCCGAGTCTTTGACCCAAAGGTCTGATCCACAAGGCAGTGGAGCATCGTAAGGAGATGCAGTCCTATGGTAGCCGGTGACTAACGATTGGTCCATATGCCATTTGTTCCCGTAGGATACTGGAGTCCATGTTCACCATTGGTTTGGAATCCGGTTAAAGCGCCGGACATTCGTTTTTCGTCGTCGCATTTTCGTAAACAACACCATCATTATCATATTCTTAACCCTTGTCCCAAAACAGGTTACCTTATTCTATCAACTTTAACAAGGGTATATATATATATATATATATATTTTAATTTTCATCAATTAGTATTATCCTTACTTATTTATTTTAGATGAAGATCCTATTCAACCAATCATTATACAAAGACATTATGGTTCAAATAATTTTATTTCAAGTAAACCATTTGATAAGAATAACTTATTATGTTCTGAACACCATAATGATCAATCTAATCATTATTATACAAAAAATGTAAGTTTTATAATGTTCAAAATGAGTATTAAAACTCAATTATCTGTATAGAGTTGTGAAGTTATTGATTGAGATCATGAACTGATTGATGTTAGACCACCATTGGTTAAGGTTAGACATTAACACCATTGGATACTAGCCACCTCAGTGGTCTAGTAGATTAAGCGTTCGCGTACGAGACTGAATGTCCTGGGTTTGAGTCTCGTGAGGTGAGATCGTGGATGCGCACTGCTCAGGAGTGCTTCCAGGTTTTTAATGTTGGTCTAATATCATTCGGTTCATGATCTCAATTACTTTATTTTAATTGTATAAAATAATATTTCCAGTGAGGATATTGCAGTATGATGTAACCAGTGAGTATTTTATAAAGGGGTTTGGAAAGTTCTTTTTCTACTATCAGATAAGTTTGAAATCTCCTAATGATCTCAATTAATTATTCAATAATCATTAGATAGCTATTTTATTAACTTTTGTGACTTCTCAAAAATACCCATCAATCTCTTTAATCGACTGTCAAAGTATCGAAAATCAGATTTCACTGTAGTTAGGACATTTTTAGGTGAATAAGTTAAAATTTTGCATACTGCCTATTCATCTTCAGTCGCTTAATGAAATAGTCCCCTTTTAATTTATAACTATTCTACACCTAACAGCAATCTATGACAATCAGTTACTTTCAAATAAAACAATCTCTTTTTGAAAAAAGAAAGAAGATTATGCAATCATTACAAAGGTTAAACAATTGACAAGTATATACGATCAAAAGTTTATTGTTATCATCACTTGTCATTACGTGATGATCTACTTAATGCTAACAAGATGCTTTAATATGGTTAGATCTTTCAAATTTCTTATCAACAATCTTACATTAGAGTGAACATAGAACTGTTGCTTATAGTTTGGTTGTCAATATAACTGATTCATTGAACCTACCTGTAGGGTAATCAAAACTGACCAACTTATTCAATATACGATATTTTTTAAAGAACATAATGTAAACCAGATGATTTCTTTTGTACTAGTCATTTTGTCTCAAAGTGAATCCTAAGTATTTATTGATCACCACCATTATAAGCAAAGATGGATATTGGCTAGTAGTGGAATCCAGAACGAGTGTTTCGTCTTAAACATCAGTGGAAAGATTCAAGTAAACAAAAAGTGAATTTAAACTTCACCCCAATATACAAGCAAGTGGCTATCAAGAATCACTAGGTAAGTGGATAACGCGATGGCGTTTAAAGCGAACGATACTGGGTATAATCAGCTGATGAGTTCCAAATAGGACGGAACGTGGGTCAAACTGGATTCCACTGCGAGCCATTATCTATCTTTGTTTATAATACTTGTGAATCAAAGTAATATCGAGGCAATACACACAGTATTCACATATGCTAATAAGAGGCTGATCAATTGCACTTCTAAACATCAATAAGATTGAAGTAGACAATACCAAGTGGATTACCATCATTGTTTCTTTTCCACTAACTTTTACGGTACATAATTAACTTTGATTCTGATGGAAACAATTATTTTTTTATTAACATAGAATTTACCGCTGTTGTAATACTAACTTCATCAATAACAACAAGTTTGAAAATCTCTTAATTCTAAGTGAACAAAAGACGTATGAACCTGATGTTCGCCACCAGCTACCATGTGACTGCATCTCCTAAAGACGCCTTGTGGATTAGACCTTTAGGCCAAGGGTTCATTAGATAGCCACTAACAAAAAATGGAATACTGAAGAGTTATTTTGTTTTAGTACATTAGTCGATATAATAATTGGCAGTGTTTCTTTGTTAAGTTAAAAAACTTAAAAATTTGTTCATTATCACAATATGATATGTGACGATTGTAGTATTTTCACAGTTGGAATCACCACTTGATCTATGCTAGACCACCATTTAAAATTTGGAATCAATAAACGGCCGTTTCGTTGTAGTGTGCGACTCCTCACCAGTGTGCATCCACGGTTCCGTACCATATGGACTTCAATCCAGGAGCTTCGGTCCCATGCTCAAACGTCTAGCCTCTAGATCACTGAGTTGGCATCCAACGGTGTGGATGTTTCACTTCAATCAATCCATGATCTTGCACAACCCTTCACCTACTATCTGTGGTGGGTAACTGTCTCACACTAGACACGGCTTGAACTCCACTGGTCACGACTTCCCACTAGAACTCCGAGAATTCTCTCATAAATCTAGTCACTAGTGAGTATATGATCATTATCAGTATTGGAATTTGTAGAATCGATTTAAGCTGGGCCATTACAATTCGTGATATACAATAATCTCTTATCATTTTATTTATAGTTAACAAATTTATTTCTAATTTACATAATTATTTTGCAATGAAACTATCAAAAATTTATCTCTATATCTAGTTACCTTTAATCACACAAACTATAACTTTATTATTATTATTATTATAAAAAGTCTTTCGAATGAGATCATATATCGATTATTGTTAGACCATCGTTGGAAACCTGGAAGCACTAGACAACAATTTCGTTCAGGTTTCCAACGGTAATCTAACATCAATTGGTTCGTGATCTCAATCAATAAATTAATAATCTCCACAACTTCTATACTGATAAAAAGTCTTTCGTAAGACATCAGTTAAATAATATAACGTTTCAAAAACATCCTTTTGTTTTTGGTTTAGAATTTTCACTTATATTTATTACTAAATGGTATACACTTTGTTTATATCATTTTCTTCCCTTTTTTGTTGTTGTTGATATCTATGCATAGTTACATTCAGAATCTCCATCAGATCATTTTAATGGGTAAGATTATTTTAATGGATACTAGTCTATTTTGATTAAAACTATTTTTAATACAATTATTCCGTGAATATTTATGAAAAAAAACTATATATATGTAAAGATGGATAGTGGCTAGCAGTGGAATTCAGGACGCGCGTTTCGTCCTGTTTGGGACTCGTCAGCTGGATGTACCTGCATCTCAGAGTTGATGTTCACTCTGGGATTCGAATTCAGTACCGTTCGCTTCAAACGCCATCGCGCTGTCCACTTAGCTACTGAGTCCTGATCTTTGCTTATAATGCTTGTAAATCAAAGCAATATCGAGGCGTACGCACAGTATGCATATATGCCAATAAGAGACTGATCAATTTCAGTCCTAAAAACATCAATGGGAAGATTCAAGTAAAACAATACCAAGTGAATTAAACTATCTATATGTTACATATTCTGGTAAAAAATATCTACTGTGGAGTGATTTCTTTCATTTGGATTTTCTGCTGTCTTGAACACTTATTTTTTTAGATTGTACTATGACATAGAGGTTAATCGAAGAGAGTTGAAACTAAAAGTAACTCCTTTTCTTTGAATGTCTGGAGCCAAAATCATACAGATGGCTATATTAAATAGGATGATGTCAGTAAGGCACTTCCTTAAGATGACCAGCAATAGGATTAATAATGTCTTCTCATAATCAACTAAGATGGTCTGTGAAAGGTAAACTACAAAAATAAAAAAATCAGTTACCCCTAATAGACTTCCTTCGCTAGTGGTAAGGCTAGAAATTTCTCAAGTAGTTGTTTCAAGATAGTAAGGTTATTGCTAGTCCACTTGCTTTTTCAGATGAATTAAGAAAAGGTGTAGTTCCACGATGTAAACGACACAAATACACACTACTAATGTCTTGACTGATTAGATGGTCAGGTCTGACATTACTTCATGATTTATTCCATTTTGTAAATTATTTTTCATAATAATAAACTGATATTGAACCAAATAGGAAAAAGTTCTGTCTTATAAATTTCCACAGTGTTTTATAAAACTACATTAGATTGAACAGGTTTTATGTAGTGAAATTTGATTTGTGCAACCAGATCAATTGAAATAAAACTTGAAATTCATGCATGTCAATGAATTATCTCCGTATCATTAAAGTTACTTACTTACTTACGTTACGCCTGTTACTCCCAATGGAGCATAGACCACTGTCTAGCATTTTACAATCCATTCTGTAATCGGCATCCCTTTCTAGTTCCTTCCAATTCTTGTTCATTCTTCTTCTCATGTCTGTCTCCATTTCTCAGCGTAATGTGTTCTTTGGTCTCCCACTTCTCCTTTGTCATTGAGGATTCCAAGTGAGGGCTTGCCTCGTGAAACGCAGTTGGATACTTTCCTCAATATTGTGTCCTATTCACTTCCAACGTCTATTCTTGATTTCTTCCTCCGCTTTAACCTCATTTATTCTCTCACACAGTAGGTTGTTGCTATTAGTGTCTGGCCAACGGATCCAAAGTATTTTGTGTCGACAACTGTTAATGAACATTTGTATCTTCTTGATGATGACTTTCGTTGTTCTCTAAGTTTCCACCCCATACAGAAGAACTATCTTGATATTTGTGATGAAAATTCTGACCTTAGTGTTGGTTGAAAGTTGTTTTGAATTCCAGATGTTCTTCAATTGTAAATATATTGCTCTTACTTTTCCGATCTGCGCACTCATATCTTCATCAGACTCGCCGTGTTCATCAACGACGCTGTCCAAATGTGTAAATGTTTTTACATGTTTCATAGCTTCTCAGTGAAGTGTGATTGAATTGTTGCATGTGTTGTATTGGAGAATTTTGCTTTTCCTTATGTGTATGTTGAGACTTACTGCTGCTAAGTCTTCTGCTACACTGGTTGTCTTCTCGTGCATTTGTTGTTGCGTTTGCGATAGAAGATCTAGATCGTCTAGCTGCATCCTATCCGTCCACTGTATCACATGTTTCCTCCTAGATGTTTGAGTCTTGATGATCATTAAAGTACCTAAACACACTTTAAAAAAACTGTCTACTCGAAAAAATCATTAACTGAAATAATAAGTAAAATAAGATTTTCAAGTGTGAATATTATATTTGTATAAGCCTATGTGTAACAGTACTTTACTCACTCGTTCTGTCCTCAACAAGATATACAATATATGATTTTATTCATACATGAAATTTGTTATCATTATAAGTTTGAATAGATCTTGGACAAAGTATTTAGTCTTTGAAGTCAATAAATTAAATGAGCTATTATTAAATGCTTATTCATATGATATCAATGGATAACTTGGACCCAAGTAACTATGCATAAAGTATTAGTCAAATCCAATCCAATTAATTAAAAACTTATTTTAGTTAAACCCAAAAGAAAACTATATATATATATATATATATATATATATATATATTGCTTAGTTTACTTACGCCTGTTACTCTAGATGGAAAATAGGCCACCGACCAGCATTCTCCAACCCACTCTATCTTGGGCCTTGCTTTCCAGTTCTATCCAATTTTTGTCTATTCTTCTCATTTCTGTCTCCATTTCTCAGCCTGTTGTGTTCTTTTTTGAGTCTTGCTCTTTTCCTTTGGCCTTGGGAATTCCATGTGAGGGCTTGCCTCGTGAATATATATATTCATAGAATTTATTTCAATTGACTTCTTAACTATTTAGTTTATATTGTTTCTTATAACCTTTTTATTTTTCATTCATAATTCTATTCAAGTCATTTAAGCTATCATCCATCTGAAGAATCATTATTAAACGATACAAAAGCATTGAATGGATTTAATAATAATCATGATTATTGTAATTATTCACAATCATTAAATCATAATTACATATGTAATGGAATTAATTCGATGAATGATACAAAATTAAGTGGAATCTATAAAAAAATTAATCAGAAACAACCTAATCGTATATTACCTAGAAGGCCACGTTCATTAATACAAGATAATCATTATGATATTAATATTAATAATAATAATAATAATAATCAATATGATTTATCCAATGAATTACGTAATAATCATGGTTACAGTCATAATAATATTTATGATAGTTTACATAGTAATACTAATGGGTACTACAATTATAAAGAATCCATTGATGATTTACATTCGATTACACCGAATCTATTCCGAAAATATGATTCTCAACAATCATATCATAGTAATAATACTATAAATGATAATATTAGTATAATTACGGATGGTTATAATTCATATGACTATCGATGTAATAATAATAATAATAATGAAATAGTTAATAAAACACGAACATGGACAATAACAGATCTTGATGTTGCGTAAGTACTTTTTGTTTCTTTGTTTTACTATTATTATTATGATTGTAATTTCAATGATTAAGATCATGAGTCAGTCTAGCTTCAACTGACTCATGATCTTAATCATTGAAAATACTATATTATCCACAAAACCCATGTGATATTATTCAACATATGCACACTAGTGACTGACTTCACGAAGTATTACCTGGAGTTCTAGTGAGAAGTAGTGACCAGTGGAATTCAACCAGGTCTGTTATGAGATAGTAACTCACTGAAGACAATGGTGGATGTGTTGCTTAATTTCGTGGATTAGTTGATGTTAGACATTGACACCATTGGATACCAGCCGGCTCAGAGGTCTAGTGGTTAAGTGCTTGTGCACGAAACCAGTAGGGTTCGAATCTCACAGGGGGCGAGGTCGTGGATGCGCACTGTTGAGGAGTCCCACAATAGGACGAAACAACCGTCCAGAGCTTCCAGGTTTTTCATGGTGATCTAGCTTCAACTGACTCATGATCTTAATCATTGAAATTACTATAATATCCACAAAACCCATCTGATATTATGATTGTCATTGTTCAGTTATTATAATAAAGAAGTATTTTTAGTTTTATAAAAGATTATTTTCAATAAGAGGTTGTAGGGAGCACTGGACGGTCATTTCATCAAAGTATGAGTCTTTTCAGAAGTGGGCATCGATAACCTCATACTGAGGAATCAAGCTTAGCACGTTCGGTCTCGCAAGCTAACGCTTAAGTTTCAGACTACTGAACCGGTATCTAATTGTATGAATGTCTTATTTCAGTCAATGGTAGTTTAAATTAAACCGGTTCATGATTTCATTGAAACTTTCATGTATACATCACTTGACTACTTCCTTATTAACATCCCAGACTATTATATCATGTGATACTACATTTATCAGTTCTGTATAGATTATAGATACAAGCTATTACCGAGCAGCCATAGAAATGAAATATATGGTCATATGCTTCTTATCGGAGACTTTTTATGCTGACGAGTTAAATTCATAAATTATACTTGTTCAAATTGGGTTTCTTTTCTGGATACATATTTGTCACTATCTACTTTAAGGTCACTTAGTAGATATGTAGGATCCAACCAAGGGAGTTTAAAAAACCCTGATTCCAAACCAATTGTATACATGAGCTTCAGTGTGCTGAGGGAACAAAAAGCGTATGAACCTATTATTGGTGACCGGACACCATGGGACCGCATCTTCTAACGTTGCTTCATTGCTTTGTGGATAAGACCTTCAGGTCAAAGACCTCGGAATAGGTTCTCTAAGAAAACTATCTGTTTCAGTTTGACCGCTCGAGCAGTATTACAGTCATCACACAAATCAATGATATCTGCTACTGGATTCATTGTTATGGTATGCTCCCCATGTACCAATGTTTATGTGTTTAAATTAATTAATTAATTAAAGTCGCATTAATTATGTATAAGTATTAACTGACTTAAAGAACACTAACCACTATTCACAATTCACCCTTATTCATGTGAATTAATCATTTACTGGTTAAATCATCATTCAGTTACACTTCGTATTAATATTAATCTATATTCCATCATAGAAACAATAACGGGGTGGATTTGCATGCATATAGCATACAATTCTCTTTGAACCTAGCACACAACAATAGCATCATGCACTGTCCCATCGTCCTTGGCAGATCAGGCAACCCGTAAGTTACCAGAACACCATCAGGGCATACGACAGACTAGGTAACACATACTCCATTATATAAAACTTAAAGTACATTACAGTTTTTAATGAATCAATTATATACAAGCTGCAATGTACAAAAATGGTTTTTGGTTTCAAGATATGACAAAAATGATAATGAAATTATCAATGACAACGACAACAACAAAAAATCGAAGGAAAACATCAACTTAGAATTGATTACATAATATAAATAAATAATTAAATGTAATCTACATGATAATTTATTTATTAAACAGATAGAATATTAGAAGGGATTTTTGTGGATGTTATAGTAATTTCAATAGTTAAGATCATGAGTCAATTGATGCTAGACTACCATGGAAGATTTGCGAGGACTGGACGGCCGTTTCGTCTTATTGTAGGACTCCTCAGCAGTGCGCATCCATGAGTGAGTACCAGTGGTCAGTGGAACTCAATCGAGTCTGTTATGAGATATTAACTCACTGAAGACAATAGTGTATATGTCGCTCAATTTCGTGGTCTAGTTGAAATTAGACAATAATAGCGTTGGATGCCAGCTGGCTCAGTGGTCTAGTGGTTAAGCGTTCGCGCGCAAGACTAATAGGTCCTGGGTTGGAATCTGGCGAGGCGGAATCGTTGATGCGTACTGCTGAGGTGTCCCTCAATAGGACGAAACAACTGTTCAGTGCTTCCAGGTGGTTCCATGATGGTCTACCGTCAACTAACTCATGATCTCAACCATTGAAATTACAATAAGAAGTGTTCAAATTAAATACATAATATTATTTACCCTAAAAAATACAAATACTTTTAATTTATAAATAAGAACTAATGAGACGCTTATGTTAAAGGTTATCTACTTTTGTCTCCAGATAAGTAAAGAGCTATTTCACATGTGATAAATTCCATTTCTCAATATATTTAGTATATAACCAGCACTCGTGTTCAGAATGCATGTTTTTTTTTAATTTTCGAGACTTGTCATTTAGATAAGTCTACAGTCCAGTGTTCATTTTTACATCGAAACTCAAAGTCTATGCCAGTCACCTCAGACTCGGACTCATTATACAGTAAACGATTAATCTGAGATGGCAACTGCCTTGTTCAGAGTATATGAAATCATTAGTAAAGAATTGTATTTTGTATAAAACAATAAATATTAGATTTAAATCTCGATAGGAATATCAACAGCGATGGTGTAGTGAACAAGAACACAAGTCGAATATATTTGAATACAAAATTACAGAATGCCTTCGTAAAATCTGAGAACCATGCAGTAAATACTTCATTTGCAAAATGTTCATCAACTGTCTCAGACTTTAATGTTCCTGTATTTTCATACCAATTGCTATTTATTTCCATTCTTTCCTCCTCGATCTTCTTGACCTTCTGCTGCCAGACATTCTACCGTATAAACTACGTATGTCAAAATAAGTAGCACACACCACGACGGGATATAATAATCTAGTTATTCAATAAGTATACAATAAAAATGTAGGTGGTTATTCACCGTAGAATTGATTTAAAACTTACTACTTTCACAATATTCATTTAGTTACAAAAAAAATGCACACTTTTTTAAGTTCTACATCCAAAACAAAATGATTTAAGTAATATATGTTAACCAATAAGTCTTAACTCCTTTGGTTTGAACTTGTCATGATTGTTACAAAACTTGACGATCGTACATGTGATCTCATATAGGTAACATTTTGATATGGATGATAGATATAAGGAACAAATTGATTAAAACAGCTATCTAACCATCTATCTTTCTTGATTTTAAAATTATAACTAAAATACATTTTTAAGCAAACATGGATAGTGGCTAGCAGTGGAATCCAGTTTGACGCGCGTTTCATTCTATTTGGGACTCGTCAGGTGGATGTACTTGCATCCCAGAAATGATGTTCACTTAAATAAATTAAAACAACACCAAGTGAATTTAAAATACATTTTATTGTATATATCATACTTAACCATAAAACTTATGTTGTTGATTATTGTTACATAACTAGATCTTTAGAATTTATTAATTTTCAAGATGATTTTGTGGATACAATGTAAACAAATAACAGCCGCTTGATAAGAATTTCAATGTTAACTTTATATTTATAAACAAAGCATGTTTTTAAAGCCTTTAAACGTTTTAAAATAAAATAAAGAAAATTAAAAAAACACAGTTGCACACTTTGAATGACGGTTTCCATGTTGATAATCAAAAGAGACAATGGATAATATTTACCACTTTTTTATTTATCCACACATGATCAATCATTTCTGTTATGACTTTATGTTCGGCTAGTTATCACGTGATCTATTCATCAATCAAAATACGACTTATACAAACTTAGCACTGTGTCAAACTAATGACGTCCGACCGATATGAGCAGTCTAGCGTCCTTATTAGTCCTATGTCCGCCTAGCCCGTCCACTTGAGTCCAGAACACCGATACCAGCTCCCACTATGCGAAGTGAATCGAATCCTTTAGTTCACATATACTGGGTTTATATATCAATCAAACAGACCGCAACGCACCATAAAATAAGAAATAACATTTGTACACAATAAAACCAAAAAGTGGCTGTGAACGTGGGAGGCAGTAGTCAATAAAGTGAACATAGCTTAAGAACAGTAAATCGTACAATAACAAATTATAGGTCAAAACAAAACTTATAACAAGGGGAATATAGATATACATAATCTAATTATTGAATAGTTATACCATAAGAATGTATAGATAAGATTAGTCAATGAATATGTCTCAGAAGTTACTCGTGATTTAATCTTCACTCGGATATAACAATTTGTTGTAAAGTATATTATTGAAATGATTCCTTCATTGAATCATTCTTTATCTATTCAGTGTTTTTGATTAAGTAATCAAAAAAAGAACATATTAAGAATTTGTCTTCCATTTGGAATATTTTTTTTCTTTTGTTTTTGGTTGAGATTATGAACGGATTAATGTTAGACTATCATTGATAATCTGGAAGCATTGGACAACCGTTTCGTTCTGTTGTATGTATTTATCATTTAATTTTCAAGCACTATATTTGAGTTTCAATATGAATATTTAGTTGTTAAGTTTTAAATAGGACAAAATACACATTCTAGATTTGATTATTAGTGTGAGGATGGTTTATGGATGAACTCAAGGAAGATCTTAGAAAATCAGAATGAGTCGGATATATTGTAGTGTCGGTTATTATGTTAAGCCCATATACCTTATTCTAGAATTCGGACATCCCATTCTATTCATTCTACTTGAGTTACATTCTTACCTTGTTAATTATTCGCTTA